TGTTTTTTGGCGGTTTGTTATAGCTATTTAATTGTTTGGTTTTGAAGCTTCAGGCGATTAGAAATCGGGTTAATTCAGAGACAAATTATAAAGTAGACTAGTCTACCCGTTATCTAATTAGATAACTGTTCGGGGGTCATCCATAAATGTCATCACATCTGTCACTTATCATTACAAAATAACCAGAACCCACATTCAAAAAGACGTAAATTGAAAAAAAAATTAACATTTACATTATGTGTCTAGAACCCGTGCCACCCTCTTGGAAGCCAATTACACTATCATCTTAGCTATGTAGGCTCGTGACGTCATGACACTTTTTGTGCTTCATATAAACAGTTTGACTCTGTTTAATAAGCTTGATTTACGCGAATAGGCCCTAGATCTAGTATCTTTCAAATTAAAGTTTATCTGAAATTTACCAATTCCATAGCCAAACAAACAAAGATTCTTATAAAATAATGAAGGTCTCAAATAGTTTAGTATAGAAACTCATTATTATCTACGATAATATTCTACGACTGGTTTGGTTAAGCCGAGTTTTTGCCGTAACTCTAGATCTAGAACCTGTAAATTTCTTAAAACTTAAATGCTAATCTTACAAATTAATTGCATCAAATCTTAAAATTTATCTTGGCGTATATTTAGGATTATAAATTGTTTTCTTTTCAAACTCTATCCTATATCTTCTATAGTCCAAGCCATTAGCCATGCATTTCTGAAATATGGTTGCTATTTGGTCTTCTAAAGGCGTATGTGGTAATTGGAAGCTTACTACTCTTAAAACCAATATAACTTCAAGGATGTATTCTGTCATCGAAAAATAAAGCGGGAGTGATTTCCCCTAAATTTTCTCGAATATTCTTATATAACACTACGAGGAATGGCAATTCGGGATATATGCATGCTTTATAATTAATTTTTAACTACTTAAACTTTTAAAATAGAACAGAAGCTCGTAGAAAAATGAATTGCACAAAGAGTGAACAGCAATCAATGAGTGTATAATAGTGCGGAAGATTATCAGGCCTACTTTATACATTCACTAGCGTCCGAGCTAGGACCTGCACTGGCCTCTGTGAAAAACCTATCTGTAAAAGACAAAGACTTGTGTGTTTATTAAGAAACATATACAGGGAATTGCCTTGGTTTAGGAAATATATTACTTTTCAAATTGACCCTCACCACAACCAACCAAAGCCAAAACACACACAAAAAGAAAACGTAAACATAACACAAACGCAAACACAAATACAAACGAAAACACAAACACAAACCCAACCACAAACGAAAACACAAACACAAACCCAACCACAAACGCAAACCCAAACACAAAGAAAACACATACACAGAAAAAAACACAAACGAAAACACATACCCAAATCCAAACACAACTACAAATTTTAATATAATACTTATATAAGAAATTTCATCAACCTAGCTGTAACGGTACTCAAGTTATCGTGTTCACAGACACGCATACACACACAGACAAACGTACATAATTGCACAACCCAGTTTTTCCGACTCGATTACGCATAAAACGCCTAAATTTTGATAATTCTAGATTTATTATTTTTGCCCGATTAAAATAAGTCCCTTATACTTTTATATGATGATGTACTAAGGTGTAAAACGGTGAAAACTGTCTAAATTTCATGCTATTTTTTTGTGCACGATTATAATATTTCCTCTATACTCTGATTAAGAGAAAGTAAAAAGATGAAAAAGCAATTTGAAAATTTGAAAAATTAATTAAAAATTCTGGAAAAAAAAAACTGTTCAGAAAAAAATCGATGGGTAAAGTGTGAAATAACTCTCTAAAAATAGGTGTTAAAAAAATCAAGAAAGAAAGGCATGAAGAGATCATTAGGAAAAATGTCAAACAATCATTAAGAATAGCGTTTTTTTCCGATTCTTTACACACTAGTTACCAACGGAGATTTCAAAGCAGGTAGAAACTTTACCAAAAAGTTGTGAGTGATTTTTTTCATGTTACTCGGCGCTTGTGATGTTTCTCACGCCAATTCAGATAAGATCATTCAACATTATTTTAAAAATGATACTTTAATTCGTAACTCGGTGGGTGATTCATTAGCACTTAGATCAATAGGTTAAAGGTTTAGTTGCAAAAGAATTATAAAATTTTTAGAAATATATATTTAAATTTTTTTAAAAAATAATATTCGGAGATAAAGGTCACTAGAAGACATACATTTTTTCCCGAGGTCATTAAATTGTCTGTTCCGTGCCATTCTGAATATTCCCTAGTACAAATCTTTACAACGATTGGCTACAGAAGTAGATCACGAGAGATAAGATATTTCCGTTTTAATTATTTGGCACAAGTTTCAATCTGCTGGTTCTCACGCAAGTAAAAAAAAAAGAAATAATTTGAGTGCAGTCTTAAAATTAAATTTACGAACAAGGCATCTATCTTATGCGCCAACCATTTCGCATTTCTAACATAGGAAAACAACTCTATTCTTTAAATTCCATGAGTCTTTAATCACTGCTGAATGTTATTTGGTAGGTTTCCAGACTTCTTAATCCCGTTAGTGCCCAATACAGATGAAGTAGAGTTCATCTGATTCATAGACGTCGGCATAAGAAGGTATTATGTGGTCAGCACTATGCCCAGCCGCTTTTGTTTACCTAACGTTAGTTAGGTACCCATCAGAGTGGGGTGGGCTCAGGGACGTTCCACTGATTTGAACCCGTATTCGAACGTGAGACTCTCGAGTTAGCAGTCTAGCTCTATATCGCAAGGCCACACCGTCCCTTAGGTTTCCAGACTAACCTTTTTACAAGCTTCTATTTAGCTCACTTCCACGTCAATCGTCCGTCTGTTGTCAGTCTGTCTGTCTAGATCGAAACGCCCGAGCGAAATTGCAGGCACTTCTACCTGACAGATACGGTTCGTAGTTAGTACGTGGGGTCAAGACATGAAGACAATACATCATGACATTCAATTTGACTTAATTGGGCGCCTGATTAATTTTTTATGAATTAGTTAAAAATTTGACCAAATTAGTAGGCAGTTCTATCCAACTACTCCACACGCGTCATCACGTTCAATAGGCGCGCAATGGTTTTTAGTCAGGTAACTCTTTTGTAAATAAAAACATGTAAAGTACTAAATTTTTTTTTAATAAAAACGTTTTAATAACAAGCTTTTATTTAATAATGCACTAAAAAGTAGAAAATAAAGTATACACTACTATTTGCAAATATAATATGTAAAATCTTCAAATGGTTAAAAAATAAAACACCATTTAAATATTTACTAGATTTTTGCATGCACTGCTTGATGGTGGTGGTGACGTAGAAAGAAATGCTGTTAAAAACTGACAGAAATCTCAAGTATCACAAGACTATTTATAATGGCAATACTGTAATACTAATTCAATCGTTTCCTAACTTTGTCAGTAATATTATCCGTACTTAACAACAGATAATAAGGGTTTCCTTTAGCCTTTTTTCTCTTAGGGGGGCTCCCTTGAAACTGGTTATTCTAAAAGCAAATATTTTGATACGTTTTTTTTCTATTTCCGCCGGGGGATAAAAAACGGTGCTTCTGGAGAATTCCTTCCACCCGGAGAGACGCATGCAGACAATATTACCCTTTAAAAAATCCATGTAAAACTATGCTTACTTTGATAATATAAATCATAATTAAAACCACTTCTACTTTTTCTTCAACTGTAGTAAATAAGAGCGATTTAAAAGTAGCACACGCTGAGTATTTAAAAAAAATTGATTAGCGGTTACTTCCTGCTTTGTGCTGGAGTTTTTGGAAAATCTGTATAAAAAAAACTACACACTAAAACAGCTGAGTTTTTTTCGACTACAAGAATAGTCACAATTAATATTTGTGTTACGTTGTGATTCAACACTAACAAGGCCAGGTAAGCTAATAATATAACTTAGGTAACAATAAGCAAATTTAATTTTTTTATGTTAATATTTTTACAAAAAAACGTTTTAATAATGCTATTAATTACTCATTAATGAAATAACTGAATTTTACGTAGAAATTTAAATTGTTTTTTATTAATTGAAAATTGATTTCAAGTTAAATTCTTGATGCAACCTGATTAAAGAAATAGGTGAACAGAATAATTAACTATCTTTTAAAGCCAAAATCGATCTACCTAAAAGTATTAATTTTTAAATGCGTTTAAAACACTGATTTAATTTATTAGAAATATTCACCATAAAATATATTTATGTTTTATTACAATCTTTAAAAAATATCAATTTATAATTGCGTAATTGTTATTTGAAAATTTAAATCTCATGATTTATTAACATAAAGCAAAAGCCTGTCAATAACATACGAATAAAAGTAAAATGAATCGGTCTTTGTGCGCTTCGGGAGAGTCCACTCAGCTCAGATAGGTACCTAACTCACGTTAAGAAAAGTAAAGGCGGCTGGGCATAATGCTGACCACACTATTCCAGCATATGCCGAGGTAACTGAAATAGGCGAACTCTACTTCACTTGCCCTATAGACCATCCATTTTGGAAGATAAAGGGGTCGGCGTGGTCGAGTCGGTAAAGCTCATGGTTGCTAAATCGAAAAGTCTCAAGTTCGAACCCTCGGGCAGATGAGGCTCGTTAGCTGGGGACAGCAACTCTTCTAGGAGAGACAACTCCAAAATCAAACAACTGCTGCCTTGTAGTTTGTTCTTGGTTGGACAAAGGCTATGGAAGCAAATCCAAAAAGAAAAGCAGGCTGAAATCGGAGTCAATGGCCTCAATGGCGCAAAACCAGTTGACACGTAATCCTTAATTGTGATGGAAGCATGGTCGAGTCGGCAAAACTCATGGTTGATAAATTCGAAAAAAAAAGTCTCAAGTTCAAACCCTCTGGCAGATAAGGCTCGATCCCTCCCAACACTAAAAATTAAGAACGAAGAAGAGGAAGATACACTTTTTAAAACTTCACTTTACTGTTGGTGATGTATCTTTTTTTTTATAAACATTTTTTTACAGGATGTCATTGAAGCTGTTCATCTTCGTATTCCTGCCCGCCTTTACCTTTGGGCAGTCCGCCCTTCAGCCTTACAACACCACGGCGTCCGTCATGTTCGCGGCCGTGGACGGCAACGTGGACGGGTACATTGACATCAGGGAGCTGAACCAGAGTTTTGTGGTGAGTGGTTGGTCAAGTTGACCGGTGAGCAGTTAGTACTCAGTAGGTAACTGTTGTTGCAATAAACAATCGAAACTACAACGTCATAGTAAAACACTCCTAGAGCTGATCTCTAAAACCGCTTTATATATATATATATATATATATATATATATATATATATATATATATATATATATATATATATATATATGTATATATATAATATATATACATACATGTATCTAATATATAAAGCTCTATTCTGTATGTAAAATGTTTGTAATAAGTTTGTCGTGGATACTTTCATGGATTTAAGTGTTAGATTATTATAGTGCTTATGGTCTAAATTTATGAGTTAAAAAATTAATACTGAAAGTGTTGGAAAATAATTTTCATTTTTAAACTGATAGTAATAATTGTCGGCATGTTCATTAAACACAATTTAAAAAAATTTTCATCTTTTACAAAAATTCTAATTATGTCTAAAAATTATTTATATTTAGTCCGTTAGCACTTACTTCCCTTTGATAAATAAGAAAAAACAATTACTTCTCTTTATAAAACATTGCATTAGTGGAAAACTTACTTTTTATTAATTTGTTTTGGTGTTGGGAAAAAAAAATAATTACATAATTAGCGGGGATTGATCAAGTACAAATGTTGTAGGTATTTTTAATAATGCCTTTTATTTATTCTATACACTGAACTTACTGTTTACTAATTATTTTTTTAAATCAATAACAGCTAATAAGCCAGGTCCTACATGTCCTATATGTTTTATTTCTTTCCGTTTACGAATAAGCTTGGAGTATTATAATTGTCCTCTGGCGCCCAGACAGGGTGCTATTTGGGGCCCCGGGCCTCCCGTGTTCGGTTTGACGTCTACGTTCATTTAAGTGAGTGCAAAAGACTATGAATAAGTTGGGGTACTATAGTCGTTTATTAAGCTGAAACAGGCGATTCCGCCAGGGGCTAGACTGTGAGAACTTTGCGTTTATGTTCGCGTTAGTGTTTTCTTTGTGTTTAGGTTGGGTTTGCGTTAGTGGTTGCGTTTTGATTTGGTTCGTTTTTGTTCCTTCTTATTTCGTTTTCGTTTGTGTTTTTTTCTTTGGGTTTGTGTTTGTATTTGTGTTTGTAGTTGGTTTTGCGTTTAGATTTGGTTTGTTTTCGTTTGCTTTTTCGTTTGTGTTTTTTTCTTTGGGTTTGTGTTTGTGTTTGTGGTTGGTTTTGCGTTTCGATTTGGTTTGTTTTAAATTGCTTTTTCGTTTTTTTTTCTTTGTGTTCGTATTGGTGCTCGTTTGTGGTTGTGGTAGGATTTGTTGTTAGGTTTTGTTTTCGTTTGCTTTTTTGTTTGTTTTTTCTTTGTGTTTGTATTGGTGTTTGTGGTTGTAGTTGGGTTTGTTGTTAGATTTTTGTTTTCGTTTGTATTTGTAATTGTTAGCGTTATGTTTGCGTTTTGTTGTTTTGGTTTTGGTTGGATGTGGTTTGGGTGGGCAATGCCGGGTTTATGATGATTACTAAACACACAGGTTAAGGACTTTAACAGAAAGGTTTTTCACAGAAGCCAGAGCAGGGCCTGGCCGGCTAGTATATATATATATATATATATATATATATATATATATATATATATATATATATATATATATATATATATATATATATATATATATATATATATATACATATATATATATATATACATATATATATATATACATACATATATATATATATATATATATATATATATATATATATATATATATATATATATATATATATATATATATATATATATATATATAAATATATATATTTCAGCAGTTCGATATATATCGATTGATATTTAAGCAATATAATACAAACGTTGTACCTGTTTACATTCCAGCAATACGATACAAACGGAGACAACCGAGTAACTCGTAACGAGTATACCAACTACATCAACGAGCACAGCCCCACACTGCACAGTCTCTCCCACGCTCTCTACGACATCTACGACGTCGACGGCGACCACAACCTCGACCACCACGACTACGACAACTTCTTCCGTCTGATGGACGGCAACGACGACGGCTTGATAAGCAAGGACGAATACGTCAGGTATATTTGATGTTGTTTAACATGCATGAACTATTTAGTACTAGTATTTACATTCATCCTTCTATGCTTTATATCTTTAGCAAATAAGGCTGCTACTACTACAAATTACCACAACCGTAGCAAAACATTCGTATATCTGATGTGAATAAGAGAAACCGATTAGGAATATAATAGCTGAATCAAATCATCCAAACTCTTAAAGCTCGGAATTTATTTAAAACTTACCGGCATTGCTTTTTTCTTACTGTGATTTATTTTTGTATACATGATCATCTAATATTTTAAGATTTTCGTGACATGTAGTAGACGTTCCTAAAATGTTAGATTATTAGGGCTATCGTAAAGGTAAACTTAGAGGAATCAAAGACCACCAACTATAACATTTTCTTTTTAATACACAAAAAAAATACCAACCAAAAAATTAATTTTGTATATCAACTTTTACACTAAATTTACGGCAAGTTGGCCATAGCTATCTATAAATAAACGTATCACATACTTAAAGATCCAGTAAAGCTGATATGGTTTCATAAAAAATTACACTTAAATTCTGTACTTACAAAATGCGAATTTCTATAATCTATAAGTATAGTGTGGCACTTGAAGCACAATCAAGACTTTAATAGATCTTACTTGATGTCATTGGATACTTGCTACTTGTCAATAAATCCAATGACTGAATTGTCCCATTTACTTATAAGCTGTACTGATTTCGTCATACTAAATTACTAATATATATATATATATATATATATATATATATATATATATATATATATATATATATATATATATATATATGATGGTAACAATATTCATCCACCTATCAACAGATACTGGAGTATACTGTTCACTGACCTGGAACATCTCCACGGATGAAAAAACAACAAGATTTATAAATTTCGATCTTGGTCTTCTCATTGGTGACTTAGTTGCTTTATGTTTTCATACATTGACTGTTACAACTTTGAAAATAAATGATTAAAAAAATAATCTGATTATTTTTGGTTGTTGATCAGTTAAAATTTTATTTTTGGATCTCGTTTGTGTTACTAGATATCTAAGAATTATAGAAATGAACTGAACTAAAGAAAAGCTTCTATAACTAATTTTTAAAAATCTTAGCCTGCAAAGAAAAAAAAAATAAACCGGGAGTGATCTCCCCTAAACTTTCTCGAATATTCTTATATAAAACAACAAGGGATGGGAACTCGGGATATAGTTATGCTTTTTAATCCATTTTAAATACTTAAACATTTTAAAATAGAATAGAATCTCATAGAAAAAAGAATTGCGCACCAAGCGAACGCCAAATAAAGATGTTCATAATAGTGCGCAATATTATTAGTACTTTATAAATTTAAATGCGTTTTTTAGAGAAATCGGAAATAGCGTAAATTAGTACTTTCGGTCAATGGAAATTACTCAAAATTTGACAGATTGTAGAAAATTATATCTTTTACTTACATGTGAAATTACATTTATCTAACTGAAATAGTACTCAAGTTATAAGCTTTTGAAAAAATCAAAGTAGAAAAAGTACCACTTCCGGCTATCGGAAATCACTCAAAAGTTGATAGGGATCTACGATTTTGTTAAATATTTATATATGAAATTTCATCAACCTAGCTGTAACGGTACTCAAGTTATCGTGTTTACACACACACAGACACACAGACATACGGACAAGAATGCAAAATTATGTTTTTTCGTATCAGTGAGGTGTAAAACGTCGAGATTTGCAAAAATCTCGATTTTTTTTTTGCACGATTACAAGACTTTCTCTATTCTTCGTATATACGAGAAAGTAAAAAAAAAAATAGGAAAAAGAAAATTGTTCAACAATAATTTGTAGTAAAATGTGTTCTGTTGTGGCTCATCTACGGGTTATTTAAAGGAAACAGGCAACAGTTCAGTATTGTAAAATTTCTAGATACAAGTTTAAATAAACAATTCTTTCTGTTGTAAATGGAAATTTGTGCCTATTGTCTTCGGGCCAGTGATTGGGCGCAGTTAATCTAAAGCGAGTTTGAGCATTCCGACTTTTCTGGTTCAAGAGGCGAAATTTCAGAATACTCAGGTAGATCAAAAGACAGGGAGGATTGCAGTTAACTGGTTTTATTGTTAAATCAATCCACACACGTATCTATAGTTAATAACAAAGGTGAAGGCATACCATCTGATATAGCTGGTTCTGATGTTATAGTGGGTGGGGCTATAGGGATGGTGTATATCTACTGTGATGGGTAATGCTACAAAAGTGGGTAGATCTTAATATGCTTCGATTGGTGGTAGTTGTTACTTCGTGGAAGGGTGGATAAACTTACTGTAAGGGTCTTAAGCTGTAACTGTTGTAGTACATTGAGCTATGTTTTTAGTGAATTTTAGCTTAAATGTACGACTTATTTTTTTTTTATTTATTTATTTTTTTTTTTTAAATGTACGACTTAAAGTTGGAAAAAAAAGTTAGTTCTAAGATTAAGAAATGTCCAGTATGAGCTGGGTTTTTGATAATTTGTCTTGCTATACATTTTATTTTGGTTTGAGCCATGCCTGCTTTCTTCATTAAAATATTTTGTTATTTTATTGTTTCTGCTTTGTTGGTTGGTTGACGGTGATACAGATAAATTAACTATAACAACAAAAACAAAACGAAACAGTGGTTTCACTAACTACATGCAGTATAAGCCGCCAGGATAGTTTCAGCTGAAGGGGCAATATTCTAAAAATGCATGTGTATAGAGTTCTTTCCCATAATAATTTTAAATAATCTTTAGCTTTCAAGAATTTTATATACCTATTTATATTTTTAATAGTGTGCCTAGTGTCACAATAGGGGTAAGATAGGGACAGTTGTACTTGATCTTAAAATTTAAAAGTTTTCCAGGCCTTATTACAATGGGGCTTAATTGAAATAGACCTATATCTTTAAATACAACAACACGTTTTTCTAAATGTGACAATAAATAGGACAGATGCACTAGAATTTACCTGTTAAGTAAGAAATGTACTGCCGAGACAAATATTAGTATAATTGTGTGTACTTACTATACTGAAATAGATATTATAGTTCTTGTCCCTTGAATGTAATACAATTAAAAAAAAAGAAATACAAAACTCTCTTATGTTATAGCTAACTAGAACGACTGTAGAAAAAAACATACCCTTTTTAAATTTATTATTTACAGTCAATACTCTTAGAATTTGGTAGCACAAAAAATAAATTTGTAATTTTTTATGCAGCAAACAAGTACGAAAAAACTAGATTCAAAATCTAAATCTGTTGCGTAAAACACGTACAACTTAACACCTGGTTCTGGAATCTATAACTATCTTTTGTTCACGGACATCTGCACTTGTTAAATCAGTACCGAGAAGTTCGAACGTACCTATTTTTATTTTTTGAGAACATTTATAGAGAAGTATTACATTAGTTCTTAATTCATGCTCCCTTTACCCTCTCTACTGATATAGTATAGGACACAATCTTTTATTAAACCCCTCAATAGATATAGTTTGGGACATTACCCTTTATTTACCTTCTTTATATTTGAGACATATCTCTAAATTTACTTTCTCCTTAGATGTGACATGGGTCATAATTCTTCATTTACTTTCTCAATAGATATAACATGGGACAGAACTCTTCATTTTCCCGGTGCATAGATGAAATATGGGACAAAACAAATCATTTTCCCTAGCAACTTTTGCGCTACCCCCCATCTCCCATCTTTTTAATGTTCACTGCACATCATTATATCTAAAAGAACATACTTCCTTACTGATTTCAAACCTCCAAAATTTTAAAATCGTTAGCATTCTAGCAAATTTCGCTTTTTCAGGCTCCGGTATCTACTTTAAATCGTGACTTACTCGTCTTGTAGTTGGTGAAATGGAGCTTAAAATAGCCGCCACGAACTACACCTAATTTTTCTGTACCGTGTGTACCAGCCATGTGCTGAAGTGTCCAAGTTTAGACGAGATAGCGATGTGATATTACGAAGCCTTCACCGAGAAAGTAATCCCTTTAAACTGCGTAGTAATAAAAAGAAGTCTGATTTCAAGATCGTCACTTAAACAAAAATCTTCTAACAAGGTAGGGCTACGTGTTTTTTTTCCTTTCAAGTATAAGCTTTTAAACTTTAGAATATTTCTCTTTGTATCATGTAGAACAAATCTATTAAAAAATTCTATTCTTAATTATAATATTTGATTCAATTTATTTATGACATAAAAATTTTTTTTTTCTGAAAGTGATTCTCCTTACATACCTCTTATATTTTAGTATCCAGTTAGGAATAGATGTAAAAAACATAATCATATAAATGTGTTATAATCAATTGATCCAATTTGAACTTAATAACCACTTTCTTACAAGCACTTACTTAGGAAAAAAAAAGTTTCAGACTAATTGATTCATTCCAGCTTTCCGCCCCCCCCCTCCCAAATTTTTGCAATGTTTATGAATAAAATTACACAAGACACTATATCAAGTAGCACTGTGAACACATTTCCTCCACAGCACAATGAATCTCCTGTACGCCCTCCTGTTTGCTCTCCCGGCCATGGCCATGGCCCTTGACACCCTCAAGCCCTTCAACTACACGGCCACCGTCATGTTCATTGAGGGCGACAAAAACCACGACGGTTTCATTGACAGACAGGAGCTGGACGCCATCTACAGGGTAAACAATGGGGTCTTAGCAACGGGGTAAACAGTGTCTTAGCAACGGGGAATACAGTGTCTTAGCAACGGGGTAAACAGTGTCTTAACAACGGGGAATACAGTGTCTTAGCAACGGGGAATACAGTGTCTTACCAACGGAGTAAACAGTGTCTTAGCAATGGGGGATAGTGTCTTAGCAACGGGGTTAATAGTTGGTTATTGGTGTCTTTGTAATGGGGTAGACAGTGTTGGGGTCGTAGTAATGGTTTATGAGGTCTGGGCAGCAGAATGAACAGTGGTTTGAACGGGATAAGAAGTGGTTTATGGGGGCTAGTAGTAACGGGACTAATTAAAGTATTTTTACAAGTTGTTATTTAACTCGCTTCCTCTGTCTGTCGTGCTTAGTGCTTCGTCATAGATCGAAACTGCCGAGAAAAATTTCTAGCACTTTATTCTGACCGATTCGTTTCAAAATTGGCTCGTGGGTAAAGACACGATGACAACTTTTATGTTAGATTGCATTATTATCGGTTCTTGACACACGTGCCAATTTTGAAACGAATCGGTCAGTTAGAAGTGCTCGAAATTTTGCTCAGCAGTTTCAATCTATGACGAACGACAGACAAAAGCACGACAGAGAGAGAGAGAGAGAGAGAGAGAGAGAGAGAGAGAGAGAGAGAGAGAGAGAGAGAGAGAGAGAGAGAGAGAGAGAGAGAGAGAGAGAGAGGATGCAAGTTAAATAAAAGCTTGTACAAGGGAGAAAATAAAAGAGTTTCGTTTAAATTATACACATAAAACAACAATCAACTAACCCAGCAGCCTTACACTATTGCAGGGTTACGACGCCAACAACAACGGCAGAATCAGCAGACAAGAGTACACCCAATACATCCAGCTGCACGCCCCCAACCTGTACCAGGTCGCACACGCCATGTACGACATTTACGACGTAGACAACGATGACCAACTTGACCACCACGACTTCGACAACTTCTACGCTCTGATGGACGGTGATGGAGACGGGACTGTCAGCCATTTTGAATATGTTAGGTAAGTCGCAACGTTTGAAATGGACATATGAGGTAGGAACCACTAATGACGGTAAAAAGTAAAGGTTCCGGATAGTTTCTAAAAATAAATAATAGAAAGATAATTTCATACCCAATATTACAAAAACTGGAATGATTAGGTACCGCGTGGTTGAGAAGTATAGCTTAAGACTACTATCATGAAGGTCCCAAGTTCCGTTCCCCATATCAAGTCTGTCCCTGAGACACACCCATGTGCGATGGATACCTGACCCACGTTAGGGAAAGTCATGACTGGTGACACTACCCCTATGTATGCTGTGGTCATTGAAACAGATGAGCTCTACTTTATCTATCCAATATGTCATGGGCACGAACGTAAAAAGATAATATGATAAACATTGCCAAAGATATTACAACTTGAATGATTGTTACAACAATACAATTTGAATGACTGCTATAAAAACTGACCAACCATAATAATTCTTGAAAGATCGTGACGATTATACTATTACACACAACTAAATGATCACTACGGAACTCTACCTATGCAAATTTAATAAGAAGGTTATTGAAAAATCTAATCAATAAAAAATGTTACATCATAGTATTATACACAATTTGAATGATAGCTGGGACACATTAACAAAAAAAAAAGAAAACACAAGCAAGAATCTTTTGTACACCTGAAGCTAATTTAATCAACCTATCAAAACCTTAAATGATTGTTTGCTTGATCACAGATACTGGACGATTCTCCTAGGGGATCTGGAACAAATAGTTGCAGGAGCGAAGACAGTAGTTGTCCACCCATAAAACCTGCCCTTAGCCAGCACCATTGTGATTCCATTGTTTGAGATTTTTAAACTTGTGGTAATAAACTACAAAACCATATTTCATATTCTGTTGATTGTTCTATTGTTTCTGTTTAAAGATTTCGTCTCTTGCTTTAGGCTGTTATGTTGTTTTCGTGTAATACACCAAGGGAGCTTATTCTGAATATCAAATAAAATTTGTGAAGTATTACTAATGTCCCCGGAAAACTGTGATATTTTGCCATGCGTGGTGTGCTGTTTTTCTTGAGTACTACCATAACCTTTGTTCACTTAAAAATATCTACAAAGGTGAAATGATTTTAATTTATAAATCTCTCATAAATTGGCTCCCCCCCCTCCATTAAGAAATTAAATAGCAATATATATTTACTTTACGAGTGACCCCATTTTTAAGCGCCCTACCCAAATGTTTCCCCTGCCACCCCCCTCCTCAACGGTGATCAATGTCTGAAATAAACACCTATATAGAATAAAATGCAATAAAAACGAATAGCAACAACTAAAGATGCTCAGAGAATGTAATTTTTTTTTCTTCAAAGGAAGCTGAAATCATCTGAGAATATGTGATTGGAAATAAACAATCATTAATTTAAATTAATTTTTAATGAATAGGTAAATTTTGTGTTACAATGAATATTAGATTTTCTTGCTTGGCCACCGGAGACGAAAGTACCTAGAAAGTTATACCCCATTCGCTGCAATAGACGTGCCTCAGACACAGGAGCGTAGCGAGGGGGGGGGGCGAGGGTGCGGACCTCACCGGGTGACACCATTTAGGGGGGGTGACATCAAGGCAAAAAATAGCAAAATATATAGAGAAAAAATTGAGGGGGGGGGTGCAAATCGAAAGTTTGAATGGGGGGGGGGGGGGGGTGCAAATCGAAAACTTGAGGGGGGGGGGGTGCAAATCGAAAACTTGAGGGGGGGTGTAAATCGAAAATTTGGGAGTTTGTCGCTACGCCTCTGGGGGGGGGGGGGGGGATGGGTGACACCATTAAGTGCCGCATCGGGTGAGACCCGACCTCGCTACGCCACTGCTCCATTGGACAAATGCAGTAGAGTTTACCTGTTTCTTGACCTCGGTATATGAAGGGGAAGGTATGGTCAGCACTTTGCCCAGCCGCCTTTACTTCCTTAACACGAGTCAGGTACCCATCAGAGCTGGGTGGACTCAGGGACGTTCAACTGGCTTGGACCCGGATTCAAACTCGAGACATTCGGGTAATCAGCCTAACACTCTATCGCTTAGGTCACGCCGTCCCATAGACAGAGACATTAACCTCAGTAAAATGATTAAAAATAGTGTGAATGCTGGAGGTAGATAATGGAGACAATAAAATGAGAGAAAAATAAAAATGACCCGAGCAATATTCTTAAGTCTTGCAAACCGCTGAAGAATTGAGCATTACTCCCAACCATATTGCAAGCTGCTAGACCCGTTGGTTTCCAATAAGCTTCATATAACTGGTGCCCTTCGTTTTATCAAGAATGCAATCTACCATTTGACCAAGCCCTTCAATTTATTTTCTTACAAGTACACGAGTAATCCCGTTATGTTATAAACCATCGCAAATCGGGAATGATTAGACACACATTGCGTAAACCAGTGGCGTAGCGAGGGGGGGACGACGACATATGTCCCCGGGCGCCGACCTTAGGTGGGGGGATGCCAAAATGGGTTGGAAAAACAAATTGAAAGTTTGAGGGGGGGGGGGTGCAAATCAAAAGTTCGAGGGGAGGGGGTGCAAATCGAAAGTTTGTCCCCGGGCGCCGGGAAGGGTCGCTACGCCTCTGGCGTAAACTTACTAGCAACATCACCAGGAAAAAGGAAAATAGGCAGGTTAAACAATCTACACATGCAGCCGGATGGTCATGAACCAACTTGAAGGAATCGCCTAAAACCGAGTTCTATTGACAGGTGTGATTGCGACCCTATGCTCCAGAAAGAGTTCCACACGATTGACTGTGATAAATATACCATTATGTTACCGTTATGTTACGTTACTAAGGACTTAATAACAACGTTTGAAATTAGTTTGTAGCACTCAATATAATACAATTTCTAATTACCTATTTGTCAATACTTTAATAATAGAAAATAGTAAGACTATTTAACGGAGTTTAAAACTTTAAATTACATATGCGTACAATAATCATATGACTAACTTGAATGTCTTCGTTTCCGTTAGACATCTGTGTTCACTCAACTTGGATGGGTACTCAACTTTGAAGGCGCCGACCTTAGGGGGGGGGGGGGGCGCCAAATTGAAAGTTTGAGGGGGGTGGTGCAAATCGAAAGTTTGAGGGGGGTGCAAATGAAAAGTTCGGAAGGGGGGTGGGGGGTGCAAATCGAAAGTTTGTCCCCGGGCGCCGGGAAGGGTCGCTACGCCTCTGCCCTTACCTATTATTTTTACATTTCTTTAAAATAACTGCAGCATAGGACATCATCTACTCAGTTATTAGTAACAAAACTTGTTAAGCTTTCATAAAAATTAAACATTGGTCAACAGCCTTTGAAATAAATAAAAATTCACTATTTCATAAAGTCATGGGTTCTACTTACGTTAAGATGCTTGAAGATTGAAGCAGATAAAATTAAATGTTTGCTCTGATAGTAGAGAAAGGGTTTGCAAACCGAAACAAGAAGCACAGGAAACGACCTCTTGTAAAGAAAAAAATGGGTTAGGTTTATTTAAATTATTTCCTTTTAAAGAGAGACAACTCAGTAAATAATGTGATGATTTACCCTTGGCGTAGTATTGCCGGATTTATGGATAAGCTACGCTAAACAGTTTAAACAAGGGCCCCCGCTTTGTTACACATCTCTCTCTTCTCCCCCATCAACCCACCCCCCCCCCCTCCAAAAGAAAAAAAAGTATTTTTTAAACATTTATTTATAATTTCTTTTTTTTTTCTAACCGTGTTGGACACAATCATCTTTCCCTTAAAGTAATAAATAAACACACCTTATTGTGGGCAAACTTCTTTCTAAAACACTAAATATTTAGTACTGACATGATATATGGACTAAATTATTGGGAATCGATTTTCTAGTCTAAATTAGGTCTTGGCTACACGTAATTTCAATCAACGGACAATGCCCCATCACATGAATGTGGACCCCATGGTTACTTGGTATGACACAAAGACTGGCAGTTGTATGTCCAGAACTTTTTTTCTAATGATTAACGTCAGTGGACACCATGTAGTTGCAGAAAAGAAAGCTTAAAATAGCTGCCACGAACTAATCGCCTAATTTGTTAGTACCGTGTGTACTAGACATGTGCTGACGTGTCCAAGTTTAGACGAGATAGCGATCCGATATTATGAAGCCATCAGCAAGAAAGTAGTCCCTTAAACCAAGTCGCAATAAAAAGAAGATTCGTTTTCAAGATTGCCATTTAGAGAAAAATCTTTTAACAAGGTACGTGTTCTTTACTTACTAATATAAACTTTTAAGCTTTACTAAACAACGTTTTTTTCCTTAGCTATTTTTTGAAATATTCTATTGGTATGTTATTTTTGTTTAATAAATTATTTAACTTATTTAGAAGAAATATTTGACTTATTCCAATTTCTGATGCATTTAAATTTAAATAGCCCTACATTCATAAATAGGCTACTTACTCATTAACGATTCTTATTAATATATATATATATATATATATATATATATATATATATATATATATATATATATATATATATGTGTGTGTGTGTGTGTATGTGTGTAAGAAATTGTTTTAATATAGAGCTTAGTATAACTCACGGATTCTGAACTCGGCATTTCAAATGTTAATAAATTTAACTCAATGTTTAAATCAATTGGTATATAACTAAACCACCCGTAATCATTTGGATAATTGTTGGTTAATGACGTCACGAATTAAAATTATTTTTATCTCCACTTCCCTCTTTTACACATCGTCATAAAAACGCAGACCACACATCGCACTTCCCACATCATTTTTTTTTCTTTTAAAAATATCGATTTCTTTCACAATATATTTTTTTAGCTCGAACTTCATAGTAATAAAATACTAATAAATAATTAATCGACGTTAAATAATAAAAATCAATTACAATCACTTGAGGGCAATGGGAGTTCCCATTGTTGATTATTTTTTAACATTTTTAAAGAAATTCGATAGGTTGGATGTCACACTTTTGTCTTGACCTCTACGTCGCGTAATTAAACAATACTGTATTTTATAACGCTTATTCTCTCCCGCATAATTAATCTTATGTCGGGGTCCTACACCATCATAAAATTATAATAAAATTTTACTTTATTTTTTAACATAACCTTTCCCCAGCACAATGAATCTTCTGTACGCCCTTCTGTTTGCCCTCCCCGCCATGGCCATGGCCATTGACACCCTCAAGCCCTTCAACTACACGGCCACCGTCATGTTCATCGAGGGCGACAAAAACCACGACGGTTTCATTGACAGACAGGAGCTGGACGCCATCTACAGGGTAAACAATGGGGTCTTAGCAACGGGGTAAACAGTGTCCTAGCTACAGGGTAAACAGTGTCTTAGCAACGGAGAATACAGTGGTTTATGAGGTCTAGACAAAGTGAAAACTAGTGTATGCAGTCTTAGCTGTGGGGTAAAGAGTGGAGTAAGGGTTCGTAGTAAGAAGTTAACAATGTGTATGGCGTCTTAACAAAGACAATACACAAGGGTGTATGGGTTGTACAAAGGGGTAAATGTTTTAAATGACCTTTATAACGGAGTAAATAACATCAGGTTAATGTGAGTCACTAGCGGTAAAGTATTTTATGGGCACTTTGTGTACTCTATGGAAAAACTAAAATCAAAATGAATGTGCCTAAAGTTTAATTAAATTTTACTTTTGTTTCGATCATATACATGTCTCAAACAAAGGGAGCTAGCTTTGATTATAGTAATTGTTAATAATTACTAGAGTAGTTACCCATAGAAATCTTTTTTTTTTGACATTTTCTGTGTTCTGCTAGTGTAGTGCAATTATTAAAGAAGCTATCGAGGAATGAAGCTTTGTATTTCATGGAGTTGTTTGATATGTCTGTGC